AGAGCGCCGCTGAACGCTGCTGTCCAACTGTGAAAAGGGAGAGTCTGAGGGGAATTCTAATCGTCGTGTCCTTCGAGCCAAGCCCTTGCTTCGGGCCACGGCAACCCGCCAAATCAGAAACAGACGAAACGGCGACTCAATAAGCCGCCTTCCGCTTATTTTTGCCGCGAAAAAGTTTCTGCGCCGAAAATCAACTCGTGAGCTCCTCTTGGGCCGAATATCGACTGAACTCGGACAGTAATCAAGATTTATGTAATTAATTTTGGGCCTGCTGCTGCTCGGTTTCTGTATCACTCTATCTCTTTCTCTCTGCTTGCCGCAACGGGCAAGCAAAGACAATACAAAAGTTGCCAGTGAACGGGAGGCACAAAAAGGGCCGATGCCGAGCAAAAACAATGTGACAGCAACAATAATACAATCGATAGATAACGAAAGTTGGAGAAAAGGCGAGTGAGAAGAGGAGGGGAAGGGTGTGTCGGGCAAGCGCGGCGTTAGGGGAAGGAGGAGAAGAAGATGATTTATATCCCATTGGAAGTAGTCAAACCCCACAGCGGTGCCATCTGTTTTTGTAATTTCCTCCTCCTGCTGCTCTCCACAATTGATATCAATTTCAAGTTTCGCGCCATCGCACCTCTTTGTCTTGTTCTCTCCACTGTCTGCCCCGTTCTACACGGGGGTCCCCTTTTTCTCCTCGTCATTCTAAGGATGCGCGGTCGCGCATGACTTGAACGTGGTGATTTGCGACCTACAATTCTTTAATTTTTTAAACGGACCCGTTTCTACCAGCCAGGGGGGAGGAGCGTCATGGTTCAACACCACCTGTTGCATTTTCGGCCGCATCTGGGTAACAGCCGAAAATGAACACGCTGGGTAGTCGGCTCCCTGCGCGCGCCGGCCACGCCAAAAAGGGCTCATCTTCGCCTTCAACTGGATGATGCAGTCCTTTTCGGTGTGCTGCATTGGACGGGTCTGCGACTGTCAGAGAGATTGCTAGTTACTCTCAAAACATGCTACTAGTGGTTGACCAAGGGGTTTTGGAAATTTCAAAATGGAAGTACATACTCAATTACATCTAATTTAATGCAGCGAGTGGTTTTTATGTAGCGACGATGCCCCCTTAAACTAAGGGTTCCTAATGAGCAAAGATATCACGCAAAAAGACGCATCAAAAACGTTCGATACAACAGAAAGGCAACCACATTTCCTTAACCGTGGGTTCGTTTCGCAGTCAACAAGATTTAGTTAACATTTTTAGCCCGCCCTTCTGCTTTGAAAAAGCTATCCAGCGGGCTTATGCAAACGACCTCGTGTCTGTGTGTCTGTTTGTCTGTCTGTTCCACTAGCAGGAGATGTGCTAGTTTTTTTTTATTATCAGTCATAAACTTTCGATAAAACATAAAGATGATGTTGGACTGTTTTTAATATCGTAAAATAAGTATACGATAAAACCAATAACTCCCATCAGAACCACTTAATATCGATAGCGGCTATGTACGAATACAATGATGACATCAGTTCTCCAACAGTGTGGCAGTAAATTCGTCCAGCAGCGCAGCAGCGCCCAGCCGAGCGTATCACAAAAAGACGGACTATAGAGTCCCACGGGGGGGGGGGGGGCGATTCAATTAGACGCGAATTTAGCAGGCGATAGCGTGGCGTGGCGGGGCTCCTCGAGCGCGCGGGGGGCGGCCAGAGAACGGCCGTGGATCACGACAGGAAGGCATGAGCAGCGCGAGAACAAAACGTCCCGCCGGCATGGCTCGGTGCACTGCCGAGCACCTCCGCGTCCCGCCCCGCCCCGCCCCCGCGCCTGCCCCCGCCCCGTCCAATTACTTCCGATACACTTTTGCAGAGTGACCCGCGGGCCGACGACGGCAGCCAGCCAGGGGGAAGGGAGGCAGAGGCGGCGGCGGACTTTATGCTCGAGCCAAGTCAGATTTAATTGAAAGCGGCCCGTCGTCGTCGAGTCTGCCGCGAGGAGAGGCGAGTGGCTGGGAAGGGAGGACGTGGAAGGGGAGGAGGGGGGGCAGAATTACGTCGCGGGGCCCCTCCTTCGCTGCCCGCGTCGTCGCCGTCGGCAGCACTACTATACTATGTGCTCAGCTCAAAGCGACGAGTGCGCGACGCGTCCGGACCGAGGGCGGGGGCTGAACGTTTGCACGGCGTTGTGTACGTTGGGGGACTTTTGGGTATCAAGCAGAAGCAGAGTCCTATTTGGGTGCAACGTGCTGCACGTGCTTCTAAGATGGGAATGCGACCTCAAGTTCCGATGTGGTCTTACGAAAAAGAGAAGAGATGAAGAGACGGCCTTTTTTTTTGTCGGATCCCACAGGCCAGCCGGTCAGTCGCTGGATGTGCTGCTGGAGTCGGCGTATCGTGAGTTGAATGTATTGGCCGGGGGAATGAGAGGGGAGTGCCGGAGGGGGG